TATAGTAATTTTTGGCCTGGATATATTTGTGGCCTCAGTATAGTAGTTTGTGGCCTCAATATAGTAATGTGTGGCCTGGATGTATTAATTTGTGGCCCCAACATAGTAATTTGTGGCCATATCCTATTAAACAATATCCACATTATCACCTTAGAAGCTCCACAGTAAAACAGTGATAAATCTGAAAGAATTTTCTTGGTGGACTATTTTGCCTCACAGCGCCCTGCATGTCTCCCTCCGCCATCAATATTTAGGCCAAATCTGAAAACTATCCTAAAACAGTGTCTCAGTCATCAGGCAGTGAATTCATAACCATTTCATGTAGTAACTTTCTGTGAGGGAGCTTTTAGAGGTGGACGTCTGGTTCCTATCACCACCACTGTGAACAGTTCTGACTCGGTAAGTTTATCTAGAACAGAGCGTTTCACACCAAACCACTCTGAACGACTCTGTTTACATCTGTTGATTTATGGTTGTGGAATTTGTCTCTAACGTGACATAAAAAGTAGAACGAATGATCGAGCAGAACGTCTGCGCGATTTATTGGCTATATTTTCTTTCCAGTATGGAGGAGCAGATTTGCCAATTTGAAAAATAAATAAAATTAAAAATAAATGACTTTACTAATGAATTAATATATGAAGTAGAATAGCAAAAGAATAATGATGATAAATTTAAAAATAAATTAATATACATAATATATTAATAAAGACAATCTTATATAAACTGCATTTATTTATTTGTCTATTTAGTAATTTCCCCTTATCACTGATGTTTGTATTTATTTTTTTGTTATTTTATGTTTCTTTATTAACATTTTTTTGTTTTTCTATTCATTTATTTCCATAACTATTCATTTCTCTGTTTATTTATTTCTGTATTTCCTTGTCCTTATGTTAATGAAGGGGCTGTCAGTCAATGATGTCACAGCGTGTTAATATTCCTATTGGTTGATCAATATCAGATTCTGTAGATTGATTGTACATGTCCTGCTCTCTCAGCGGTAACTGAGAACAAGACAGTACAAAATCCAGATCACACCCAGACATTCGGACGCCCTCCTCACATACGGCCTGTGGAAGACTTCGAGAGTTATTTATCGGCAGGTTTGTCTGTTTGTGATGTTACAGCTCTTTATGGAGTGAAAGAACAGTTTAATCAGAGAACTTGTAGAGAGGAGAATTTCGCTCTGCAATGTGTTCTGGTTTTCTCCAACACTAGAGGGCGCTCCCAAGCGAGTCCAAAATGAATGGGTTGATATGGAGCTTTTGAGCAAAATTATAGTTTATAAATGCTGAAACATTTTTAATGTAAAAGAATACATTCATTTCCTGAACACAGAGCAGCATAAAACATTTTAACACTGCTGTTATATTAAGAGCTTTTAAACTCAAGTAATAGGAGTTTAAAACGGTGCCTCATGTACGTCCATGTCAGTGAGCGCAAACAGCCAATGAGCTGCTCCGCTCGCCAATCAATCAGCACGCTCTAGCAGTAAGGCCCGCCTTCTGCTGCCCAAAACCCGTTTACTGTAGAAAAATGGAAACATACAGGTGAGTTTTCTTTGCTTTTTTTAGTGAAATCCATCCTTCTACTGTCTAAAATTAGAGGAAAGTTCTGGTTCAGTGATTAGAAACTATTTAACTTTTCGTTTTTAGCCGTTGAACTCCATTCACTCCCATTCATTGAGGACTCACTCGCGAGCGCCCTCTGCTGTTTAGCAGTCCTGTTTTTGATATAACGGGGGAAATAGGAAGCGGCCAGGCTCCTCATAAACCGCCTCTGGTTTAATCAGCTCTTCTCCTCTGGTCTTCATTGCTAAGCCTGAATGTGAAAAACACGCCCCCTCATTATCATATGAACGAAGAAATACAGGAATAAATAAATGAATTAATGAAAAAATAAATATATTAATGGGAAAAAAATATATGAATGCATGAATCAATGAATAAAGAGAACAATTGTTTTGTTTTTTTCAATAATGATTTTTATTCCATTTTCAATCATAAAAAAGAAAAGAGGAAAAAAAACAAACAAAAAAAAACAAAAACAGATGAGGGTAAGAAACTACAGAACCACCCCCCTTCCCCATCCTACTAACAACGAGACAGCTTGCTAGACATAATGGTGGACGTTCTAGATATTCCATTAAAAAACAAAAACAAATAAACGTAGCCATCCGCCTTAAAAACATGGTCAATTACAGCATCTCGGCCAAACCTGAGCACATTCAGCAATTTCACATACACTATATTGCCAAAAGTATTGGCTCGTCTGCCTTCACACGCATATGAACTTGAGTGACGTCCCATTCTTAATCCATGGGGTTTAATATGATGTCCCACCCTTTGCAGCTATAACAGCTTCAACTCTTCTGGGAAGCCTTTCCACAAGGTTTAGGAGTGTTTATGGGAATTTTTGACCTTCTTCCAGAAGCGCATTTGTGAGGTCAGACACTGATGTTGGACGAGAAGGCCTGGCTCGCAGTCTCCGCTCTAATTCATCCCAAAGGTGTTCTATCGGGTTGAGGTCAGGACTCTGTGCAGGCCAGTCAAGTTCTTCCACACCAAACTCGCTCATCCATGTCTTTATGGAGCTGCTTTGTGCACTGATGCGCAGTCATGTTGGAACAGGAAGGGGCCGTCCCCAAACTGTTCCCACAAAGTTGGGAGCATGAAATTGTCCAAAATCTCTTGGTGCTGAAGCATTAAGAGCTCCTTTCACTGGAACTAAGGGGCCGAGCCCAACTCCTGAAAAACAGCCCACACCATAATCCCTCTCCACCAAACTTTACACTTGGCACAATGCAGTCAGACAAGTACCGTCTCCTGGCAACCGCCAAACCCAGACTCGTCCATCGGATTGCCAGACGGAGAAGCGTGATTGGTCACTCCAGAGAACACGTCTCCACTGCTCTAGAGTCCAGTGGCGGCGCTTTACCCCACTGAATTTGACGCTTTGCATTGCGCTTGGTGATGTAAGGCTTGGATGCAGCTGCTCAGCCATGGAAACCCATTCCATGAAGCTCTCTACGCTGTTCTTGAGCTGATCTGAAGGCCACATGAAGTTTGGAGGTCTGTAGCGATTGACTCTGCAGAAAGTTGGTGACCTCTGCGCACTAAAACTTTCAAGCAGTCTGCAGGCAGTGCTGTCAGGCTGGGAAAGGGATTTGGTAAACCGCAAATAGATAAAGATGCGTCAGAACTTATAAGGAACATGGTAAATGTACTAGTCTGCAATAAAACCCTAGAAACACAGTTTAAGATATTGTATCCTTTACACTGCACACCTTATATTCTAAACAAAACTGACCCACTAAAATCATCGTCTGCCCAAAATGTAAAAAAGAGGTGGGTACATACTCCAGCGGTGGACGAAGTACACAAACCATGTACCTGAGTTAAAGTAGAGACACCCAAGGTAAAATATTACTCCAGTAAAAGTAGAAGTTCCTCCCTTTAGACCTCCACTTATGTAAAAGTACTAAAGTATTTACCTGCAAAAGTACTAAAAGATTAATTATGACTTTAATGTCCTGTTATCATTTTTATAACAAGACTCGCTTCATCAACTCATTTTAGGTGAAAATACTCCAGTGTCTCTCTTGGTAAACCAGTCTTTTAATAGAGTCATTAATTAGTGACGCTGATGTCTATTAAAATTCTCATAAGCACAAAACACTGAAGGCAAACAGTTTCCATCAGGTAGAACTGAGTGGCTCTGAAATCACTTTTTACAAACAAGCAAAGTTTCAGTTTAAGATTTATTTGAACTCAGTTACAGTTTAAGTTTAATAAAAACTTTAAACTCAGATTCACAAATGAGTTTCCTTTACTAAACTGCATCTGTAGGTCTCTGTTCATAAACATAAACTAGCCTAAACTAATTTACTATAAAATGAAATGTGTTTATATAAATTCAGAATAAAGACACGTCAGTCACAACTGCATATGAGTACATATTTCTATATTGTGGTCTGTTTACACAAAGGTAGGTTAGTTCATCATTTATGTTGAATAGACTCTCCCAGAATTTTACACTGCTGCACTGATGTTGAACCGTGTGCTGCACTGGGTCGGTATGACCAACAGGTCAAAACAAGCTCAAAACAAAGTGACCGCTGTGCCCTGATTGGTGTTCTTACTTTGCGCTTCTTTCGTTTTGACATGTTACGTTTTTATACACAAATAAACCAAAAGGAGTGACAGATTTCTCATAATGTAGTGGAGTAAAAAGTGAGATATCTGACTTTGAAATGTAGTGGAGTGAAAGTAAAAAGTCACCCAAAATGGAAAAACTTCAGTAAAGTACAGATACACCAAAAAACTACTTAAGTACAGTAATGAATTACATTTACTTAGTTACTGACCACCACTGCTCCTGCCCCATCATTGCCTCCTTCTGGAATAGGATCAAATTAACGCTTGAAAGGATATTCAGTTGCACCCCAGACAGCGACCCCTGTTTTTTGTACTAGGTGTGGTTAAGGATGAGGTTAAACTTACATCCTGTCAAATCCAGCTCTCTTACAAATTATTGTTCATTGCTCGTTCATTTGGGCTGAATTATAGCGGAGACTGCAAGCCAGACCTTCTCGTCCAACATCAGTGTCTGACCTCACAAATGCTCTTCTGGAAGAATGGTCAAAAATTCCCATAAACACTCCTAAACCTTGTGGAAAGCCTTCCCAGAAGAGTTGAAGCTGTTATAGCTGCAAAGGGTGAGCCGACAACATATTAAGCCCTATGGATAAAGAATGGGACGTCACTGAAGTTCATATGCGTGTGAAGGCAGACGGGCGAATAATTTGTCAACATAGTGTATGTTATATAATTACAGTCACAGTGAGCGATATATACTTTAGTTTATTTTATTTATTCATTGATTTACTGAGACATTTATTTTTAAACTTTATTTATTTTTCAGTAGCAAAACGATCAGAATTAAGCGAGACGAGTGGACAGAGCCCCTAGTGCCCTAGATAGGCTGCCTGCGTGCGGACTCGGACTTCCCCCAGTCTTCTCGCGAAGTCTCGCGATACGTGGGTCCTTGAAACATGCCCATGAGCCTTTGGGGTTCCTCTTTCTAGCCGGCGCCTGAGAATGGGTACGTGTTTACCGAGCCCGAGCGGGAGAATAATCCGCTCCCATCTGCGCGTCTAACGCAGATTTTCGCGTTCATCTTGACCTCGAATAGTGCGGTAGATATTTCCCCAGCGCTGCAAATGCATATTGTGGTGCTGTGTGGCGTTTTTGGTGTTATTTTTCTTGATTTGTCCGGAGCGGAGTTGTGGATGGGGATGGTGAGATGACTTAAGATGGCCGCGCTCGGCGTGTGTGAGCTGTGAGTGGAGGACAGAGTTTGTCGGTGTCGAGTTAACGGAGCGGCTTTTAAACCATCTGGACTGATTTTACAGCGTTTTTGAGCGGTTAATATCAGAGCTGTGTGTTTCAGAGCTGGCTTATAACACCACAACCCCCGGCTGGTTAGCGCGGCTAGCTAACTCCAGCGATGCCGAGGCTCAAATTCTCCTCTGATGTTTTATTATCGTCTGTTTTTTCGTTACGGGGTCGTTTTTATCCGCTGTGTCTCCTCCGAACATCTGACCTGTGTCCGGAGCTGAGAACCAAAGTTTAAGCGTTTGTAAATGTGCTCTGCGTTAGCCTGTTGGCTAAGCTAAGCCACCTGGGCGGTCCAAACCGCTGTTCTCCACACACTTTAGGACGGTTCTTCAGGTGTTCGTCGGTAAAGGGACTGGTTCTGTTTCTACAAAGAACCATTTGCATGCTTAAATGGCTCTTTGCGGGGTGAAATGGCTCCTTAGCTTGATGGAGGATGCGGTGTGGTTCTGTGTAGAACATTCGTTTGAAAACTATAGAACCAAAGGTTCTGCTGTTGTGACTGACTGTCGAGCGTGTAGGAGCAGAATGGTGGTATTTAGAACCACATGTTCTGTTAATCTGAAGAACCAGGTAAGAGTGCAGGTAGTTCTACGTTGAACTCGTGGTTCTGTATAGAACAGTTGTCTGTATTAAAGAACACTTGGTGCTTTGTAGAACCATTTGCATGCTTCAGTCGCTGATGGAGGATGTGTTGTGGTTCTGTGTAGAACATGTTTGAAAACTGTTCTGTGTAGAACCAAAGGTTCTGCTGTTCTGACTGACTTGAGCGTGTAGGAGCAGAATCCTTCTTAGTGTTATTTAGAACCATATAACATTCTGTTAATCTGAAGAACCATGTAGTATACATTGAACTCGTGGTTCTGTTCAGAACCGTTGTCTATTAAAGAACACTTAGTGTTTTGTAGAACCATTTGCATGCTTAAATGGTTCTAAGATCGAGGGAGAATTTGTATATGGTTCTATATAGCACCAACAGTGGTTCTGCTGTTATATTAAGCTTGAAATGTTTTCTTGAAATTGATGTTCTATATAGCACCATGCACAACTAAAGAATATCTTATCTAAAGAACCATTTCACTATGTGAAGAACCATTTAAGCATGCAGGTGGTTCTAAATAGAACTATTGTCTGTATTAAAGAGCACTTGGTGTTTTGTAGAACCATTTGCATGCTTAGATGGCTCTTTGCATAGTGAAATGGTTCTTTAGCTTGATGGAGCTGTGTAGAACATTGTTGAAAACTGTTCTGTATAGCACCAGAAAGGTTCTGCTATTGTGACTGTCTAGCGTGTAGTAGCAGAATCCTTCTTTGTGTTATTTAGAGCCACATACAACACGTTCTATTAATCTTTGCATGGTGAAATGGTTCTTCAGATTGATGGAGAACTTGTATATGGTTCTGTATAGCACTGGCAGTGGTTCCGCTGTTATATCAAGCTCAAAGCGGTAGAAAGATGTTCTACATAGCACCATGTTCACCACATTTATCTAACTAAAGAACCATTTCACCATACGAAGAACCATTTAAGCATGCAGGTGGTTCTAAATGGAACCGTCGCCTTCATTAAAGAGCACTTGAACCACTCGTGTGGTGAAATGGTTCTTCAGATCAACAGTGAATGTGTTGTGTATGGTTCTGTATAGCACCAAAACAGCAGATGCACTAACATCAAGCAGTAGTAGAACCCTTTTCAAAAAGGTCCCATATTCAACCGTATGTCTGAAAAACCATTTCACGACGCAGAGAACCATTTTAAGCCTACAGATGGTTCTAAACGGAACCGTTTCTTTCACTAAAGACTCTTTGAAGAGCAGCTCGTGTTTAGGTGTCTAAATTTGTAGGAATATAGATGTGAACGTGTGACTTGAGTGTACATGATGATCTCTTTTTGCGGAATCTGACTTCATGTGCGGATACACACCTTGGAGAACTGAACACTCAAGTTCCTGGACGTAGGGAACTCTGTTGGCCTGGACCTCATGCCTTGATTTGACACTAAATGACTTCTCTCCATCCAGGTATCTCAAGGGACAACTGGCATAAACGCCGCAAGACTGGCGGTAAACGCAAACCCGTCCACAAGAAGAGGAAGTATGAGCTCGGCCGGCCAGCCTCAAACACCAAGGTAAGCCTCTTCAACCTACACGGAGGTGAAGCCCATGTTTAGCCCATGTGAGTGATGTAAACACGTCCTTAGGTCGGTCTTTTTTGACCGTTTTGGTCAAAGCTCTGGACCTTCCAATGCTAGGATTAGTCATAGTTACACTGACACATGGCCGTCCTCAGGAGCTGAGGCTCGTCTGGGATGCAGGTGGAGATGAGATGCTTTAAGCTGTCTAACGCACCTTCTGTTCCGTGCAGCTTGGACCTAAGCGTATCCACACAGTGAGGGTCCGTGGTGGGAACAAGAAATACCGTGCCCTGAGGCTCGACGTGGGCAACTTCTCTTGGGGCTCAGAGTGTAAGTGGGTTTGTCATAAGTGGTGATTCTCAAGCCAGTCTCCGGGACCCGCCAGGCCAGGGGTGCCCAGTCCTGGTCCTGGAGATCACCCTTGATCCAACACACCTGGTCTGGGTAACCAAGGCTTTCGGGAGCCTCTGAATAGAGTTGGGTGTGTTGGATCTGAACTCTCCAGGACCAGGATTGAGCGCCCCTGCACCAGGCTGCCCACATTTTTGCTTTAGCACCAGCTCACAACACACCTGAACCAAGCATTTATGAACATGGGATATCTGGGACAGGTGTTTTTGCTTAGACCAAAAATGTGGGATGAATATCGTTGCTGTCCAGAGAAAAACCCAAGTATCTCCGAGATAGTAGCTTTACAGGAAAAGGCAGACACATTCTTGCCTTTCAATGTAAAGAGATTTTATTCAAAGTGATTTTAGAGCATTTCTTTTAGTCCATTTATTATGAAACTGTTCGCACAACGTAAAGGACAGGCTGGTGTGTTGAAATGATTTAGAAAAAATAGAAATAGCCAAAAATGGAGATGCCTGGCTTTCCTTGGACAGGGATGATATCTAAGCATAAACCATCTGGTTGATTCCCGATTTGGGTTGTAGAGCACCGTTGGAGGGTTTGAAATCATGTCTTTCGATGACGATACCTTGACCAGTTCTGCTACTGAACATTTGTGATAGATGCCAATGTTCCAACGCTGAGAAAGACCAAGTTCTCCTTTATTCTTTGCTGCCACATGTACAGAACGATGGCGTCCGAGTGTTTAGTGTGCCTTTTGTTCTAACAGGCTGCACCCGTAAGACCAGGATCATCGATGTGGTCTACAATGCCTCCAACAACGAGCTGGTGAGAACCAAGACCTTGGTGAAGAACTGTGTGGTCCTTGTGGACAGTGGTCCATTCAGGCAGTGGTACGAGTCTCACTACGCCCTTCCTCTCGGACGCAAGAAGGGAGCCAAGCTGGTATGTCTTTTTTCTGCTCTCAGGGCAGATTCCCTGTCTCTAGGCATGTTCCAGTATACAAATTTAATACTTAACCATGGTAATTAAGCCTTTTGTCAGGGTTAAATATAATTATTGCAGTTTTCAGTGCCAGGTCCTTGCATCTTGTTTTCCCTGCTCTTCTGGTTCACTCAATTTGAAGACAAGGTATTGGAGATCTGTCTATCAGGAAGCCTGTACACCACCTTATTAGTGGTGTCCAGGTTTCCATTACTAATTAGCTACATTAGCCTCGTACCTCCAGTGTAAAACTAAAGGAAACCTCAGATACCAAGAATATACATTTGGAATATGAGGGGGGGAAGTGTGTAAACTTGGGTTTTTGGGCAAACCATAGATTTAAGTACTTGATTTGTGGACTTTATTAGAGCTGGGGGATCAACCTTGTCTCAGGACTTGGACTGAAGACCCTCAAAGTTTTGTTCATGGTCTTTCTGTGATGATAACTTTGTCCAGTTCTGCTACTGAGTGTAAGTGATGCAGTTTGCGACTCTGAGAAAGACCAATCAATTGTGTGTTCAGTTTTGATCAGTGCTTAAGAGGTTTTTCGGTATTTGCATGTAGCGCCGAAGCATAGCTGAGCGATGTTTTTGATTCATTTAAGCAAGCTTTTTAATTCGTCCGCAGAGCCCTGAAGAGGAGGACATTCTGAACAAGAAGAGGTCAAAGAAGGTTCAGAGGAAGTTCAGTGAACGCAGAAAGAACAGCAAGATCAGCCCTCTCCTGGAAGAGCAGTTCCTGCAGGGTAAACTGCTCGGTAAGACCTGCTTCCTCCAGAGCGTCCGTGTTTTTTAACCCCCGCATTGGTGTGATGAGACCTTAACCAGTTCTGCTGCTGAGACCACAGCGATGAAACCTACCAAACTTCTGACTTGTGCTTGAATGTGACGCGTATGAGTTCTACGCACATCTGAATATTTGATAACGTGTTTTTTTTTGTCTGTTTCAGGCTGCATTGCCTCCAGACCCGGACAGTGTGGTAGAGCTGATGGCTACATCCTGGAGGGTAAAGAACTGGAGTTCTACCTGAGGAAGATCAAAGCCAAGAAAGGCAAATAAATGTACAGCTCTGTTTGATACCATCACTATTAAAAAGGAAAATGCCCCACAGTTGTGGTTTGTCTTTATTTCTTTATTTTGTAGTCCATAAACCCTGACAGCACTTTCAAAACAGGTGTTTGGATTTTAACGTTGCTGTACAGTTTAAAATGAACTGCTGAGCTGGACTGTGTTGTAGGTAATCAATCTGAGGCAGGTTGGAAGTGACGAATGTATCACTAATGTAGATTAATTACCCTACAAAATTACATTTTAAATTGATCTGTAAATTAAGTTAAAGCTAATATAAACCCTTTTTGTCTGCTCTCAGGGCATCAATATAGAAATCTAATATTAAGTCTGTGATTATACTTTTTCCAGGGTTAACTATAATCAAAAATCACATGTAGTCAAACTCGACCACTTAAAAGGCCATATTAAAAAACGTGATCAGGTCCGTGGGCCAGCTGTGCTTTTATTGTGATGAAACAAATGAAATACAGAATTGGAGATGATTCTATTATTATTGTGAAACTTTTGTTGTGAGAAGTTTGACATGGATAGAGGTGGTACTTAAAGAACACTGACCAACAGAACATGGTTCATTAAAATCAGAGTATAATTAGTCCTGTTTAATTCAATTTAGTGCAGCACAGTATGTAAAAAAAAAAAAAGTTTTTAAATGACACTTTGAGTGCACTCTATCAAAATATCACATGTATTGTGAAAATGTCTGATATACACACTATATTGCCAAAAGTATTTGCCCGTCTGGCTTCACACGCATGTGAAATTGAGTGACGTCCCATTCTTAATCCATGGGGTTTAATATGATGTCGTCTCACCCTTTGCAGCTATAACAGCTTCAACTCTTCTGGGAAGGCTTTCCACAGGTTTAGGAGTGTTTATGGGAATTTTTGTCCATTCTTCCAGAAGTGCATTTGTGAGGTCAGACACTGATGTTGGATGAGAAGGCCTGGCTCGCAGTCTCCACTTTAATTCATCCCAAAGGTGTTCTGTCGGGTTGAGGTCAGGACTCTGTGCAGGCCAGTCAAGTTCTTCCACACCAAACTCGCTCATCCATGTCTTTATGGACTTTGCTTTGTGCACTGGTGTGCAGTCATGTTGGAACAGGAAGGGGCCAAACTCCCCAAACTGTTCCCACAAAGTTGGGAGCATGAAATTGTCCAGAATCTCTTGGTGCTGAAGCATTAAGAGTTCCTTTCACTGGAACTAAGGGGCCGAGCCCAACTCCTGAAAAACAGCCCACACCAGAATCCCCCCTCCACCAAACTTTACACTTGGCACAATGCAGTCAGACAAGTACCGTCTCCTGGCAACCGCCAAACCCAGACACGTCCATCGGATTGTCAGACGGAGAAGCGTGATTGGTCACTCCAGAGAACACGTCTCCACTGCTCTAGAGTCCAGTGGCGGCGCTTTACACCACTGCATTCGACGCTCTGCATTGCGCTTGGTGATGTAAGGCTTGGATGCAGCTGCTCAGCCATGGAAACCCATTCATGAAGCTCTCTACGCTGTTCTTAAGCTAATCTGAAGGCCACATGAAGTTTGGAGGCCTGTAGGCTGAGTTGAGGTGCTTGGTTTTATACACCTGTGGCCATAGAAGTGATTGGAACACCTGAATTCAATGATTTGGATGGGTGAATGAAGACTTTTGGCAATATAGTGTATATATGCTGATTTATAGAACCTTTGAAGAAATATATATATATATATATATATATATATATATATATAAAAAATGTATGTATTTGCTATTTTGTCCACCCCTAATTAGTGCACACTTAAAAATGACAGGTCTTCAAGGGTTCTTTAGTAAAGACAATAGTTTTATATAGAACTATGAACACTCAAAAGATCCCTTTGCATGACTAAAGTTCTTCAGACTGATGGAGAATGTGCTGTAGATGGTTCTATATAGAACCTTTTTGAAAAGGGCTCTATAGCATCAAAAATGGTTCTTCTATTGTATAAAAGTTTGACATAACAATAGAAGAACCTTCTTTGGTGCTATATAGAGCCCTTTTCAAAAAGGTTCTTTATAGAACCATCTATGGCACATTCTCCATCAGTCTGAAGAACGCTTTAATCGCTCAAAGGGATCTTTGAGTGTTCATGGTTCTATGTAGAACCGTTTTCTTTACTAAAGAACCCTTGAAGGACCATCTTTTTAAAATGTGTATGAGCTGAACATTTTCAGACCGAAGCCGTAGTGGAGTTCTTAAATCATCACATCACTCATCATGTAATCAAAGCCGTTAACTCTGCTTATTGAATTTGATTGTTTTTGAAAACGTCGGCTGCCTTTTACTTTGTGTGAACGTTTCATGATGCGTAAAACAGCAGAAATGATCCAAAATTATCCGCAAGAAGACCTTATTAGAACATTTATTAAAGGACACTTCGGAGTTAGAAGGTTTTACAACAGGGACAGAATGAAAACAACCACATTTGCTATATTTACGCCGAATGGATCAGACTGAATGGCTTTCAAAATACGTGGAATTTAATGTGTAATATTTAGAATTTCCATTTTGGTGCTGAATTTTAAAGGCAGTGATGAGGATCAGCAGTTTAGGCCACAGACTTGTTTGTATTCTCATAATCTGTCTGTTGCTCCTTTTCTGCCTCACCCAGAGTGACCACACACTGAGGCCTCTCCACCGATTCCTCGCACTGCTGCTGCTGTTCACACACACACGGCTTAGCTGGCATGATGTCGATGGTCTCTGTGTCTTTTTTGTGCGTCTTATTCTTAGATTTCACTTTTTTAGTGCAGCAGCACAGCCTCCGGCTCCTCTTCTGCTTTTTCGGGGCAGGCGGCCACACGTTGACCGGCAGCATTGGGATTCGGTAGCTGGGGGTTGAGTCCTCCACCTCGTCATCAATTGTCCTAAAAAATGCAAGACAGAAACTTTATTAATCCTGAAGGAAACTGAAAGGTTACAGTAGCAACAACACCACTTTCCAAATTTTCCTGAAGCTGCACTGTGTGAGATTTGGGGATTTGGAGACCTCTCTGGTGGAAATGTGTAACTGCACACAATGTGTAGAATCATCTACTATTGTCGTCTAATCTTCATCAGTATGATGTTGATTTTGATATAATTTGAGGCCGAAACATCGAGCCGGACCTTCTTTTTGAGTCTTAACTTTTTGTGTGTGAAGTTAATACGTAAAGATGTATGACGTGGTGTGAAAAACTCAATGCCTCTGACTTTTAAATGACCCGCAGCAGCTCACACTCACCATATTTTTAATCCTTTAACTCAATAAAGACACTAATTTGAGTTTAAACAGCAAATATTACTCAGAACTAAGCAGCTTTAACTTTGAGGTACGTTAATGTAACATTGAAGGTTACAGCAGCATCAACATTGAAGGTTACAGCAGCATCAACAACACTTTGCATATTCAGAATTGTAACCATAGGAGTAGGAAAACATTTTCCTGATGCTGCACTGTGTAAGTTTTGGGGATTTGGAGCCCTCTCTGGTGGAAATGTGTAACTGCACACAACGTGTAGAATTATTATCATCACATCTTCATCAGTATGATGTTGATTTTGATATAATTTGAGGCCGAAACATCGAGCCGGACCTACTTTTAGAGTCTGTGTGTGACGTTAATACGTAAAGACGTACGACGTGGTGTGAAAAGGTCGATGCCTCTGACTTTTAAATGATTATTTCAGGCTTTACAGGGCGACTCAGCAGCAGCTCACACTCACCATATTTTAGTCTGTTTTTATTTTAACTCAGTAATAACTCTAATTTGAGTTTAAACAGCAAATCTTACTGAAAACTAAGCAGCTTTAACTTTGACGTGCGTTAATGTAACAGAATTTTATTCCAGTTTTCTATTTTTATTTGGCCATTCATAAGGAAATGTTCACACAATGTGAAGTCCAGCAAGATTTTGATGTGACAGATGATATATTAGCTCTACAGTGTCTTTGCTCCTTTTCACCTGAGAAAAAGGTAACAAACCTCTGACTGTTACTGTAAACTGGATGAGTTTATTAAAGAAAAGCTCACCTCATGTCGTAGGTGGAGCCCATAAAGATGGGCTTAGCTGGACCAAAGGGCAGACTGAAACTTTTCTCCGTCCAGTATTTGTCTTTTTCCAGAGGAGGGAGGCTCTGGTGCATGTCATCCACAGCCAGCATGGAGACCTGTGATACAGAGGCAGGCAGCTGTTACAGTGGGTCACTGCGGAAAGGGAACTCGCGCTGTTTAACACCGCTGAGTTACCTGAATGTTTCGGTCGATGAGCTGGTTGGTTTCAAAGTCATCGTCGTCTTCTCCGAATGGGTTGATGATCAGCTCTCCAACCTGCGCAAACAGGTTAATGTTTTGTTTTTTAAAAATGTAGAAGAATAGGTTCCATATTACCTCTTCCCCATAAATCATCCCCTCGGAACTATGAGGTTCTATCTGACATGGTTCTCAAAGTTGAGTTATTCACATTTTCTTATTCTGCGACAATTTCTTAACATTATGTGAGGTGCTTTTTAAGCTGTGTGCCTTTTTGGACTCTTTATCTATAAAACAGAAAGGTTCTATTTGAGAAGTCGAACTCTAACTTGGTTCTACAAGGTTCTATCTGTGAGCCAATCAGCACTTCGAATACACACAAGAGGACCAGTCGGGTTCTGCTTCTTTGTCGTGTCGCCGCTCTGCTCAGCGACGGCGGGAAAAGCTTATAAAACTTTGAGACGTGAAAACGTTGCTGAAACTCTGCCTGTCGTCTTACAGCTCTTTAAAAAGTCTTATTGTCTTAAATTTTATGAATATTAAGCCTTAAAGGTGATTAAATAGTGAACATTTGAATTGATGGGGTCTTAATTACATCATCAACATCAACTTCATTCATTCATCCGTCTTTTCTTTTTCTTCTTTCTCCCAAATTAAGACGCTTTGGCTCATTAGAGTCACATTTCTGATATAAAATCAAACGTCACACGGCCTTTAGACTGACCGGCTACACTGACCTGCTGGGACAGTTTATTACAGTAGCTGGACTCTAACCTATAGGAAACTTAAACT